AAAAAAAACACTTCTATTCATTATTAGCAGAAAAAAATAACCAGAACTGAAAATATGAAAACATTATCAGGTACTTCAAGTCGTTTACAGACAAGCAAGTTGCCCGCATTAAACCAAGCTTGACTTTAGAGTATACTCGCCAAAAATTCAAAGAACACCCGCATTCTCAGTTTTCTTGTCAGTTTATTCACTGACTCCATATCAATTCCAAACTGTCTTAGACGCTGATTCAAGGGTAACAAATTGCAATGAAATAAAGAGCACTCGCTACTAACTGTCGCTTGAACCTTCCGGAGGGCATTACTGTCAAGTTTTTCTCGTAAAAGAATATTCCACATTTGCAAAGGAGGTAAGAAGAACTGTAGGGTGAGGAAGGGGCCTTACATTTTCTGTGACCCCGCGACGGCATGCTCAGAACAGGACCTTTCACACAAATTTTTAGTGAAAGACCTAGGAATATGAATTACAAATGAGAGGAAAAGGTTCCAAAATCAAAGATCCACTCACTTTTATGCGGTGCTTTTTCAACTGTTCAGCATCAATGGCATCACGAAGACTGCCAAGGTACAAATTTGGGATGATTTCGTTCATTTCCGTCCCTAAACCAAAGGAATCTAACGTTTATTTTCATTGATTAACTGAAATCTTGGTTACCAAGCCTGCTTCTGAATGTAGACAGCGACAGTATTGCATTAGCACGAGCTGCCGCTGACGATGGTAGAGAGGAACCTAATCGTCCACATGGTGAAGTGGTATCCACCACCAGCGACGTGTCGCTGGTGAACATGGAGGAGTAAAGCTAATCTGCAATGAGCGAAATTGTCGAAGCGAGAGAGGGATTGTGGGGTGGTCGGATGCATTTCTTCACTTTAAAATGCAAAATGCCATAAAACATCGGGTCTCACTTTTTATAACACTTTTTGAAAAGACCGTGAAGTATTGGAAAAATTTAGGTTCTTCTTAAAATTCAACAAAAGAGGCATTTGAAGACACTTTGGACTTATGAAGCTTAAACCGACTAGTAATGATTAAGAATCATGAGAAAAAAACTAGAAAGTCATTACAAAAAAAGAGGAAGTTTCCAGTAGGTTAGATCTATTACTATCAGAAGGCTTTTAGAGAGATATGCCACAAGGGTAAAAAGTCATAGCCACTGAAAATATCCCATCCCTTCAGAATAGAGGATAGCCAGTATTCTGACAGAAAACCTAATTTACTCAAACGCATTTGAATAGATTAAGAGTTCTGAGCTTAACAAGCATTAACCTTTAGGAAAAACTGTTACGACCGAGAAAATCAAATATACTTCAAAAGCGTTGGGATCCTTCAAAAGCATTACCGTCTAAAGTTCTTAGTTTACCAGTTCTAAGACCATGAAAAGTTACTAAATTCATGTTCTCAGAGAGTAAACATTTTGAAGACCTGTGGTAGATAAATGATGTGGTTTAGACCACTATCACGACAAAATCGCAACATAAACCAATTTTTAATTTGACAATAACAAGTAACACATGCATACAATGCAGAAATCAACAACAACTGTAACAATAACAGCAACAATTTTCCAACATGTATAAATTCAAGAAAAAATCAACTACACGCTGAACAGCTACTCCTTCGATCATAATAATTGCGAAGGAGCTCAGAATAACAGAAATANCAGAATTGAAATAATCTTACGAGCTTATCAATGTCAAACACAACAGCGCTATGACAAAGTAGACACAAATAAGCAAATCTATTAATCATTATGAATCACAGTGAAAACTGCTATCTTGAAAAAAAGAGGTAGTTTCAAACGTCTTCAAGATCTTCCACCTCATCTTCGAGATTCATCTGAAGGTACTTCTCGGCTTTCTCTCGAAGCTGAAAAGTAATCAGTAACCCGAGATTCCAATGTGGGGGTGAGGGCTTAGAATGATATTTTGGGAACACAAATTTCACAACAATTCACTCCATCAGCACTACTTAGGACTACTGCACAAGTTCAGGCTAAAAATGAACCTTCTTGAGAACTCCTTATCTTCAGTCGAAGATAAAAATGATTGGGATATAAAGCATGATCCATTGCTCTACAAGGGTCTCGCTGTTCTACTATGACAGCCTCAACACCCCAAAGAAAATCTTTGAATTTGGTCTTGATGATTCAATGTTCTAAAAATAAGTGCTATTATAATCAACCATTCAGCCGCCAGTTTGATCTTAAATTGTTTTGACTACACCCGCACACTACTCTTAGGAGTTGGTATGACGACGCTCAAAAGAACCATTCCTACTGCTCCAGTACTCATGTTATGGAAACAAGAAGGCTTACCAGCAACCGCGATTTATCGTCTCCAAACCGTTGCTCAGCCTCCATCCATTTTCGGAACAGAGGCCGTAGTTTGTGCATGCTAAGTTTCAAGGCACATGCGCGTTCCAATACTTGCCTGAAAAACGTTGATCGGATAAGGCAAGTTCTGCTGTCCCAAAGGTATGGAAATCAACATTAAAAAATCCTTGAAGTGAGCAACATGGTAAAATAACATTAGAAAAAACTTACCGGGCCATCTCGATTCCAGAATGCTTGAGACAGAGATCAGCATAAACTAGCCAGACATCTGTCTTTTTCGGGTAAGCAGTAACCTGTAAGACTTAAGTACAGGTGAAACAATTAAAGGAAATCTATCTTATTGCATTTTTCAACTAGAGAATTCTCTCACCAGGCTTTCGAACAATGTACGCCCCCTCTCAACATCTCCATTGCGGAATTCCATTTGAGCGAACCGGCTGATTAAAGGAACGTCTGTAACATAGAAAGCAAATTAGAGGCATTGATTAATTGCGAAATCCGCTGGAACTGACGTCGCTGCTTTGGAACGCTCGTGAGTGCTCTTTTCATCAAATCACGTGCCGTATCAGCACGATTGGTCTTCATTAGGTGCTCGCCATAGAGCGTCCAAACATCATCAGAATCCGCACGGAACTTTTTCACCATCGCTTCGTAAATCTCATCGGCTTCCTGTAAAATGCGTGACTTCCTGAAGAACATTCGAGTTCGTCACTATACACTGAGGAAAGAACCCTACTTGATTTTTGCCATTGTCTGAATAGATGGCTGCCATTTGTTTGTGCATTTTGAGAGCATCGGCATTGCCACATGCCCGACTGAAGACTTCCTTAGTTGAGGTATCATCACCGTATGCTACTTCCATATTGAGGAACGCCGTCCAAATATTGAAGATTTCAGCTTCCTCTCTTTAACAGTTAGAGTTCAATCACTGTTGAAATCATTTGTATAATCAGAATCACCTATAGTTAATAACAGTGAGTGCGCGTTCAGCAGTAGCACGGGCTTTAGTGAGATCATTCTTGCCAAGGAAAAACGAAATGTACCTGGAAAAATGAATCATAAAAATAAACGCCAACAGATTTCCAATAAATAAGAAAAGTAACAGCTGCCGTCAATACAGCGTTTATAATAAAATATGACTTCCACAACCGCTCAAAACGTTTCTTTTTGCTCGAGTAGTAAGCAAAAACCTTCAGAAGCTTGCAGGGGTGATATCCACGATCGGCACTCATAATACACAGATCTTCCACTGGCCACTCTCGAACCTTGCGGCTCCCGTTGTGCGAATGGGGAAAGACTCCGGTATCGATGTCGATCGATATCTCATAGTTCGATGCCTCCATGCTAGGATTCGAAACCTCCATTACGAACCAGTTGTTAATGTGCTAGGGGTAAACAGAGCAGCTGTACTAGAGCACTCAAATACTGGTAAATCCAGCAAGGGAAAGTACGGGTGCAGACACTGATCCCACACATTATAAGAACGCAAGACCCAAGCCTGGGATATTCATGAAACTGAATGAAGAGAAGCAGAACCCTAAAGACACAACAGGCTCTACTTAAACGGCTAAAAGTTGGATAATTTCACATATTTGAGCAAAGTGTCTGGAAGGCGATGACTGACAAAGTGATCATACTAGCCGGAAGCAAAGGAATGTGAAACCTATCTTGAAAATCTCTGGTCTGTGAAAGTCTAAGAAGCAGTGGTGGAGCTGAACAAAACGAACCTGATCCAAATTTCAGCAGAGTTGGGATCTTTCCGCAATAGTCGAGCGAAGTCTTCCTGCGATTCCGGTTCAAAGTCACCCGCTAGTTCCACTTCTCGGCTCGCCAGTCTTCGTTCCTTTTCTCTGTCTTGTTCCTCTTTAGCTGGAAAGCGAAAAATTCTTGTTAGTAATTTACTCAGTAGGACCTGAAATCAAAATAGCCATGTACTAACTCATTGCTTTCATTTTCTTGACATCTTTAACTCGCTCCTTTTTTAGGTCTGACGGCGGCTTCTGAGTTTCAGCTTCCGTTTTTATTTCCTTATCAGCTGCAGTGGTGTCACAGTTCTCATCACCATCATTGCCAAGTTTCCCTACTGCTGCAAGGTCTTCTGGGCGGAAACCAGTATTAGACCAGTCGAAGCCCGGATCGCTCAACTGAAACATGTTCAGATGATTGTTATCATTCTCAACATCATTTGAAATATATACATATAGAGAAGATTTTAGCGAAAAAGGGTAGTAATACTGAGCATTCACAGAGTTCGAAAACCCTAAATGTTGTAGGCAAAAAGACTGTGAATGATTGACCATATACTTATTCATGTTATCAAAAAGTCCCGTATAAATTCATGAGAAGACTTTTGCCGAACATGCAACGTTTCCGGCAATTAATAGCGTCGCAACTAAGTACTGACCAAAGAATAAAATTAATGACTTTGTTCAACCCCCTCACAGGACACGCCAAATATCATAAGACATATTTAGCCTCAATATAAATAATGACTTGCTGGGGTCATGCAATATGACAAAAAGTATCTACACCTTCCAGACGGGTCTCGCTTCAACCACCAACTATAATCCCACCTATAATGGTAGGCTTGTTCGAGTCTGGGCACATATTTGAAGTAAATTTAACAAAAAAAAGTACGTAGTAAAACTGTACTCTCACTCACCGAAACCTTTTCAACCGGTTCAGGAGTCATCTCTTTCTTTTTCTTCTCTTTTTTTGGTGGTACGCCCTCATCCTCCTCAGCTATCCGTTTTCTATCCTGAAAATTGTACTTTGGTTTAAATAATTACGAACAAAATGATCCAGAACAAAGTTATAATTTTCGAATAAGCCACCTGTATAGCGGGAGCCTTGAAGACGATGCCCATGAGGAAAAGGGAAATCCGACCTTCACTATCAATATGACGAACTCGTACTGTAACTATGGAGTTCAAGGTGATTGTTGAGATCTCCCTAAAACAATACATTTCGGTTTGACGAGTTTATTCATAGAAAAATAAATCATACGGATGGTGTATTTTCCGTAGACGCCCAACGATTCCTGGTCCAATCTCCACCAATATAGCACCTGCTGTGTGTTTAGCTACGAATCCATCACACTGAAAAAAAAAACTTGAGCAAAGAAAAAGAAAAAGGGACTAGCAGCGTGCGAAACAAGCGCGATAGACTCAAAACAAAAAAAAAACCCGGCATTTTTCTAGAGTCTCCACTGAAAGTGCAAGAGAACGCAAGAGCAGTTGAGCATAGAATCGTAGAATCTGATAAACTTTTACCGTAAGCCCGGCGGTGACTTGACTGCGATCGACAAGCAATCGGCGACGGTCCTCCTTTTTGTCTGGCGCATCTTTCTGTTTCAAATATGACTCATACCTTCCCTCTGCGCACACATAGTTTCGCTGAGGATTCTCCTCTCGACGTAATGCATACAAATGGAAGATCTGAATATTTCTACGTCATCTGCAATGTTCAAAGTATCAAACCAGAGAAAACTCACTCCATCTCGCTTGAAATGCTCAATATGTATGTGCACTTTTTCATAATTGTTCGCAATTGCAGTCGCACATAAAGTTGCCTGTTGCCCGTTAGCCAAATGAAATTGCACAGACATTGGATGATTGGTCACATGCGTGACCCTCGCAGTTAGTCGATGTCCTGGTTCGAATTTCTGAAATAGTCCTTGTTTGATAAGCTATACAAGCATGGCTAATAAATTCCAGGTCCATTACGGACTAAAGTTTGAAAAAAAAAACTCAGTTTTCATACCATAACTAACTCACTTTGACATCGGCTTGCATATCAAACGCTAAGTTTAGAAATCCATGAGGTTTTCCTTTCCTATTCACAACGCTTAGCACTTTCGCCATACGCATTTCACCGCCTTTGGGTAGACATTCAAACACTTCTCCGCCATGCTCTGGAGCGTCCACCTTGAAACAAACATTTTATTTCCCTGAAATGGATTGCAAAAAACAAATAAATAACTGGAAAATTTGACTTGAAAACTTCGACGATTTTAAGGGAAGTTAAGTTAGACTCTACAGTGTAATTAGTTCTACAAAGTAAGAAACACATGATTAATTCGCTCGAGAAGGTCGTAAATGGATTTTTTATTCCGAGACGCAAGATCAACGTTGGAAAGCTGCGAGTCAGATGCAAGAAGTCTGGAATCAATGACAACCAGCTGCACCCATTTAATTCGAGTCTCCGGGGTATATCACTAGGGAATTGTGAGCCCAAGCTAGCAAATAGAACTGCAGCGTGAAAATAAACTTTCCAACAATGTTTCTACAAAATGGATAAAAAAAGGGATAGGTAATTATTCAATCATCATGCATCTTAACAACCACGAAAAATGATGCTCAAAAGTCATGGCTGGGCTGCTTCAATGAGAATTTGCAACTGTAAGCAACAATTATGGTGAAATGAGTACCACTAAGATAAATAAGCTGGAAGCATTTAAAAATTCCAATTTCAGAATTACACTTTTTCACGATGTTTTAGTCTCAAATGACCAAAATATTCCTTTTTTCATGGCGGGCGTAAATAAGTTAACAAAGTGGATCAGGGTGTAAAGAGAAGAAAGGAGTTCATAGCCATGAAATAAAAATAGAAGCAAAGTGCAGCCTTGTGTCGAGAAGACGGGCAGGGATGATGAATTACCAGCTGAAATGGCTGCATTCCCAGTTAGATCAGAATTCATCAAGTCAATGCATCATCCAAAGTAACTAAAACATAGTATTCCCAACTAAAGACTGTAGTAGGCAGCACTTATTGCCTTTATGGCCAAGTCGTGTCTACGTTTCAGAGTTTCATGATAGATCGTAAACATGCACTTAAACCTGTGTACTGATGGTGATAGTGGTCCAATACGGAAGACTAATAGTGAAATATAAAGATAGAAAAGGTTGGACCAATGAAAAGTAAACTAGGCGTACAAGTAGTAAATAACAAAATCCAGAGACCCACTAGGTCTCTAGATTCTGGCTGATCGGTAATGTTAAATAAAAACAATCATTCTGTAAATCGAGCCATCTAAATATCTCAGAGCATACTGTAATATTTCTTCTTGTGAAAGAATGAGCAAAAAAGGTTACCTTTAGATCGTCGCTAATAGCTTCGTGAGCTATCTGACCAGAACAATGAGGATTAACTTCTACACGAATATTTTTACTCGTCATCTCTTGATTAGGTATCACAAAGCAACGGACGACTTCTCCTGGCTAGAAAATCATTAAAAATAAAAAAACAATTAACGAAAAAAGCCAGCTGATAATCCTTGCCTTGAAATCTGTTTGAAAAGCGACTAATGATGCTCTTTTCCGCGCTTCACACATTTTCGCTTCATTCATAGTCAGTTCGGCAACGCGAACCTGAGAGATAGTAGGATAGGGTACAAAATGAGCATGCCAAATTGGGTTTTGAGAAGGTAAGACACAAAAAGCAAAAGCAGAAAAAACCTTCGAATCGCCTCGTTTGATTCGCACGAAATTGATAATCTTTACGACAACTGTTTTCATACGATTTCGCTTAATAAAATCTTCGATTGGAGAAGAACTTTCCATCAAAAATCGTGATGGTAGTTCAGACGCATGAAGACGACCTAGAATCTTATTCTTGTTTCATATAAAAAACATTCGAATTTAATGATCTGCGGACTAATTACTCCACCGATAAGCCTGAAAGGACTAGACAACTCAAGCGTAAACATTTTACCGATATTTCCGCCAGGCAATTCAACTAGAACAGCGAGCTTTCCATTATCACGCCCATCATTGCTAGTCCACGGGCCTATTACAGTGCCAGAATAGGTGCAGAGATTTTTAACGCTTTTCGTTCGAATCCCCTGCAAAGCACTTTCTGAGATTCGCAAGGTTGAGACAGCTATGAAGTCAAGAAATCTGATGACTTACGAACCAACTCAGATTTCGATTTAGGATGTTCACCATCTTCATTCTGGTTCTCGGAGAATTTTTCACCTGCAACCACATGTGAAATAACGCATAGAATCTTACAATGATGTTAACAAATGAACGATTGGGCCTAAACTAATCGGACTTTATCGACTAAATGGATAAACAAGGGCAGTAACCTGTTGAAAGTTTGAATGAGCAACTTTTCTTGTGTAGAAGTCGAAAGCTTGAACATTCTAGAGGAACATCAAACCCACCGAAATTCTGGACGTACGTAGTGAGCAGTCGAAATTAAAAATAACGTCAGTTCAGAAATACAAAATCAAACTAACCTCCGGATTTCTTGGAGACATGATTGGCGGATGAAAACAATTTTGCAAGCAGTTCATCGTCACCACTGAGGAGTCCGATATGAACATTATCAGCTAACTGGGCACTTTCTCCAATCTCTACTTCGTCACCGTACGATACGCGCACTGCAAACGAATTATTATGTTGTTTGAACAACAGACAATATGAAATGTCAAGGCTCTTCCAGCATTTTTTTACTCGAAAACTGGGACCCGAGCATGGAGAAAACACTAAATTCCAAACAAAAACGAAAACAAAAAATAATCCGTTCACCCAGCGACTCAACGCAAAAGGAAAAGCAAAAGGAAGAAGTGAATGAAAAAGGACCATTCTTGATCTCCACGATCTGATTGGGATGGAATCTTGATGGAACAAACACTAAATGCTTCTTCTTCAATACAACAACGTAATCCCTTTTTACAAGCACAACACGATCCGCAGACTTAGAATCCTGAAATTATACAAGTTTAGAAACATTTGTAGCATTACAATGTAAAACAAAATTCATACGTTTGCGCCCCGATCCTTTTTGCTTTTCTTCTTCGAAGGTTGAACATTGGCTGAATCTACCATAACCAACTCAGCATCATTACGTGGGAAGACGTAGTCGATAACAAGGCACTTGATTTTATCTCCAACCTTCAAATACTCATTTACCACATTCATCCGAGTGGAGAGGATGAAGAATTGCAGGTACTCAACCTCACGCCCCTGCATTGATTCCGTTCAGATCGTAATGGCGTATTGTATGCGTATGTGGCCTGATCAATGACTTGTAGAGGTCAGTCGATGTACAGGTCAGTGCTTTCATCATCCCAGACAAGTCTGGTACCAATGAATCGACCCGAAGGAACGGAGGGCTTGGTTGAGCGGGGCGGTCACCGATACGGGATTCGAACCCGTGAACATGCATGATAGTGCACCACTTGCTACTACACCACCTACCCCCATGACCTATACTGCATGGTTACTAGCAACTTTGGCAACTCAGAATAGATATTTAAAAATAACCTTGGCACCCTCAGTGTAGTTCCCTTTGCGTATACATCCGGTCAACTTTCCAGCAAATGTAACGAAAAGAATGTCATCCACAATTTGAAAAATCGTTGCAGTAACCTCCGATCCTGGAGCAGAAAATCATGACTTTGGCAAAAAAAAAATTGTATAAAAACAAAATTCTAACCAGGGGATGGTAATTTTGCCCTAGAGTGATTCGCAAGAGCAATCAACTCTTCAACTGATGAACGCAACAGCTGTAAGGCGAGAGAAGACGACGTCGATGAACTATTACCTGGTTTATCTGGCATACACTCAGCCAGCTGCAATCAAACACTATTGAACAAGCGAAGGGTTGGAGAGTAAATAGTGAAAAAACAAAATCTCAAGAAGTGTCTGCGTCTCACCTTCAAGCTAACTCGAAAATTTTTCTTCTCTGCGTTGATTTTACTTATACGCGCCAGAACTGTTTGTCCAATCTGTAGACCGGTCGCTCCATCTTCTCCTTAAACGTCAAATTCAAATGATGCCAAAAAGTCATTAGTCAAAAAGCAACAAAGAACTTGAGGAGAAAAGCCTTAGGAATCCCATCCCGTTCGTCAAAGTAATCGAGTAGCAACTAGGTCACCGCGCGCGGCGACCCTAAGAACGACTCCCGGTATATAACAAATGTGTTTGTAACAGATCACATTGATAGTACTTGAAATGCCGAGAGTGACTGGCTACAGATGGCTGTGCTTAAAGTTTCGTCCCGAATCAAAGATTGCCCGGCTGCTCGTCTATGTACAACCGATCATTTAACATAGCTATCTAGTGACACCGTCATTAGGGCACATTCAGGAGGTGTTAAGCAAAACTAAAAATTATCATGGAAAAAATTAGACGAAAAAAAATGAACAACATGAAATAGAAGCTTCTCGTTGACGAATAAACAAGGCTGTCAATGGGTGCTTTCAGAGTTCAACGATGTGCTTTGTTTTAGCCGACAACCGAGCGACGCCCAGCGTAGCTGGCCAGCCTTGACAACGCTGGATATCGATCGATACCGCTCACTCAGCTGAGGAAGCAACCTCACCTGCGTTGTCAACGCGTGGCTAGCAACGCCGTCGGCCGCTCGTCGATTGAGAAAATGCACGCCGATTAACTATGAGAACATACAAATGAATGAGAAAATATGTAAAAAGTTTTGAAACACTGAAACACTAAGCTCTTTTCCAGAACATTTATAATAGGCTTATATTTCATAGAATAGTCTGCTACTTTGGAGGAATTTCTAGAGGAGACAGTAGAGCAGTAATATGCAACGAAGACAGGATATCTATTGGCGACATCCACGCCAGCGAACCTTTTCCGAAAATAATGAATTTTTTCAAGCTACTACTGTAAAGCTCATGTTTTCTCTTTTTTATGCACTTTTACAATGGAACGAAAAGCGAAGAACTTCTGTTACATCCATCTATCACTGATGTCTAGAAGTCACGCACGCTTTTGAACCGAGTAGCAACAAAACTCAGATAGAGACTATGAGGATGGCCATGCTGATTCACATATAACTGAGGTCGCTTACATGAAGCATCGGCATCTAGACTGTTTTGCCATATTCAACCTCAATTTCACATTTTGCTCCTACGAGGAGTTATAAACTGCCCGCGCGTTAATACCATGCCCGTCGACACTCTAGGAATATCACTGAGAGTACTCTCCGAAGTTAGGCTTCAAATAGTAATCCGCACAGAAAAGTTTTAAGTGCTTCACAGACTTCCCGAGCGTTTACAAGTACGACTTTCACGCTTTTGAAACACATTGATTGAGAAAAAGTCTGATCAACCGGAAAGCATACCCCCATCAATGTCGACGAGTGCTACCTTTCCAATTAGTCCACTTCCACCAGCTAATTCGACATATAGGCAATCATCAGGGACACGTTGAGAAATTACACCGCAAACAATCTGAAATGTACGAAAAAACTACAGTTCTAACTAATTACTATGCAACTGCATAAACTGAAAAAGCGCTAATCGGTTACAAAGTAAGTATTTCGCAGTAACGCTCCATCTGGACACGGCGCTGTTATACTAGAATAAAATTTACAGCAAACTACGTAGAATGTGTTTAATAGTCACGTTCGCAAAAGTGTCGTTTTAGCGCTTATTCAGCCCCTCATTCACTTGAGTGGATTCTCGAGTCAACAGAAAGTGCAGTACTAGTTCAAGTACGAGTTCAACGAAAAAATGAGAGAGGCAACATTGGATCTGCACTACATCTTTTGAAGAAGCCATTTCCATAAGTTTTGAAAATACATGAAAGATAAGCAAAAGAACAGTAAAAAATTTCACCTGTCCTGGTTTCAGATCAGCGAAGGATTTTGGTATATTCTCTTCGTGATTCCTAAGCCATTCACATATGAAACGTTTTGAGGTAAACTGAAAATCTTTTATATCACTCAAGAATAGCCAATTACTGAGATTCTGTAGCAATGATATTATATATACATAAATGTATATTTAAATATGAAAGGCAAGAAGCTTAAATGGCATGAAAATGGATAAATATTTATACCGAAAAGGAAGAGTTAAAGCAACTCTAAAAAGTTCTCAATTGAACATCCATTTCAAAGCACTCACCCTATGCTCACCCCCTACAGACCCAAGTAGAGCGACAGGACTCAACTGCATACCACTCCTGAACGTTGACTTCATCGACACAAAAGGAGGGTCAAGAGAATCAGAAACCAAATTTGATGCAAGGTTTCCTTTGACTGAAGAGTTCTGGAACACATTTTTAAAGATTTTGCGATGAAGTTTTTTTTTTCACAAAAACACTTACAGAGTCAAGATGCAGAACTACTCGTTCGGATCTATGTCCACCAATCGTCGATTCCGAAACATCATCAATGACAGCATTCAGATCACTAATATCACCACAAAATTCAACAGGCTGAAAAAATAAAAGTCTGAAAACATCGCGAAACTCATTGACTTGTAGCTGCAAAGAATGCAAACTCGATACCTTCGGATTTATAACATGTCTTGGTCCGGCTGATTCGTTCGCTAGCGCCAAGGTCATCTTATTCCCAGCAGTATTGACTGATGTTACGCGCACTTCAATCACTTGTCCCACGCTTAAAAACTTCAAAATGAAAAGAGCCATAACTTCCATTCGCAAACAATCAACTGTTGGAAGTTGTATACCTGATATCGGCACCCAATCGTTTCGCTTCACTTGCAACAAGAAGCCCGCGCGCAGTGCCGAAAAACTGCAAAATTACGCCGCCTGTTTCCAAAACCTTCACCACAACTCCGACGCTCACGACACCCTCATACTTGGCCTCATAACTGCTTATTATGTTTCCCTAAATACCAAAACATTGGAACAATGAAATAATATGAACAGGACAATCAAGAAAATGGGAAAATAACCATGAGGGTCCCTGGGAGAAACTTTCACGGAGATGCACCAGCAAATATAAGCGAAAAATGAAACTGGTAAAAAATGTAAATATGCAGATACCTTGTAATTCACCAGAGATGGGCGTGCCGTAAGCCACACTTGCTCCTTCGCCTCACTGATAAACCATACACGACATTTAATCGACTTACCTTCAAATGTAATATTCAGGCATGAACTTATGCGGCACTGATTAAATCATCCCAAACCTCGACGTCTACCATCCCAGACGACAAAAAGTTTAACGTTCGAAAACCACTCACCAACAGCAAACGCCTTCTCTAATGCGGTTTTCTTATCGGCTGCATGTTCAACAGGTATAAACCCTTTGACAAAATCATTGAGTGCCACTTGGATGCCACGGGGGTGCACATCTGTAACTTTAGCTTCCACCACTTGGCCTGGTATCGCATCCTATAAAAACTACATTATGAAAGAGTACGGTTGTAAATAAATCAGCGTGAAAAAAATACCGATAATTCTGCTACAAAATCGCTCAAATCTGAACTTACTGACTGAGATGCCCACCTTGTAAGATATGAATTTCTGACTGAGCAAATCTTTGCGAGTTGTAACGACCATGCATCGATCAGCATAGCGAAAGTTCATTACCCGACAGGTGTGCTCCGAACCGATAGGATATACTTGTTCTGAAAGAGCTTTTTATGAAAAAATGAAATTACTGCGCGCAGCAAGGGTATTTCTGTGACATCTGATTGACCGCCTAGGTCGATAGTACGTTGTTCTAAACATGAAGAGAAGATTTTTTGAAGAAATACTAGGCAGTCACAGATGAAAGAAACTATAGACATGGGATCAATGAAGCCCACTTGATAAAAAAAGCACTGGAAAAGGTGGTTATTGCAACCCACTTGCAATATAGAACACTGTTCGATGCTTCATATGAAAATTCATAAGGATACTTGCCCAATGGCATGGGAGCTGACAAAATGCGCACATACGGAATGACTGTAGGAATTGTTTACCTATCTCTTCCGACTTGTTCAAGTATCTTTTGTACGAGATAGCAGATACAAGGGGAGTTTTTCCATCTTCTGTAGGAGGCAGAGAAAAGCAAACAAGGAATGTTGAAGGGACGACATCGATAACAGTGCATTTCAAACGATCACCAATAGAGTATCCCTGAATATCCGCTAGTTTAGAGAAAAATGTATCCTGCAAATAGAGACTGAGTTTGATACAAACCAAAAATGAAGAACGCTTTTCCGGCTTGCTTATAGCAATAATGTCAGGATGTGCAGATAGTACAAGTAGGGGAGTGTTCTGTTGACAAAACATAACGACGCATCGCAAGGCTCTTCCAATTTTAGTAATGTCACCACGCAAGCGAGGTGGTAGATGACTTTTTGCAACAAAGCCACGGACGTCTGAACAAAAGTACATTTGTTTCACAACAAATAAGTTTTTGCACCCACAACATCTATAAAACGTGGGTTCTTTGTGATGAGATGAACCCTCAAACAATCTGAACATCCGAGACGAAGTATTTTCTTTAACGATGAGACCTTACCGTTTCCCAACGTAACGTAGACTCCTGCGGTCAATGAAGGTTCTGCATCCGGCTCGCAGTCTATGATTGTACCAGGTGTTAAATGATTCAGTTGCAGTGTTTGGCATGCTTCCAAGCACAAGTTATCCTGCAAAAATGGATAGACTAGTAATGAAAGGCATATTTAAATTACTGAAACGAAAGTACTTATAAAAAAGTCGAACCCATTCGGGCACAGCAGCATTTTACATAAGAAGAACGCAAATAAAATTACCCTTTCCTAAAGGTCACATGGTGGTATATGTTTATTCACTTAACATCGTACATGTTCTTCTCATTCTCGATCTTTATTCATAGCATTTCGCTATCCCATTACGACATCGAATCAAACGCGGACAAGAGCATCTGACGGCATTTATATTTGAGGTACTTGATGCTGGGTCAGCATAAGGCGTCAATCACGATGCCGACGGAATACTCTGCGAGGAAACGCGTTCAAGGTTGAGTAGCGAAGCAAAACAACCGTGTTCAAACGCCTCGAAGGCATTTAATGCTAGCCTGAGTAGCATGAGCTATCGCCCTAAGAAACATAGATCGGCGCATTTGCACCGCCCATCTCACTGTGACTTATGAAGGAGACCGCTGGGCGAAATACAAAAGGCTTCGATTGCCTATGCATCACTAGTTCGATAGGTCATACCACTCATCCCAGCATTTAAGGGATTCGAAGCGTCCCAAAATGCTTGCTATGCGTCGCTACGAGAGCTTCAAAGGGGCTACTTTGATGTGAATGATGACCGAGTTTGTACTTTCGACGACGCTCCTCCCCCATAGAAGCACTCAAGGGATTGATATCTTTTCACTCCCAAAGCTGCACTTTAAACACATCACGCACTTAATCCAACATAATTCGTTGCATTGCCATAGAATCAGACATGTTTCAAATCTATCCAGTTTGACTGTCTCCTCTTTTTAAAAATCAACTCTATTGCACTGGCATCTTCAGTGGGTAGTTGAGTTGATTCTGTCCCGCATGCGTTAATCAGAGTCAATGTCGTGTTTGTGACCTATCGAATCAATTAAGCAATTACTCAATGGAAAAACAGACAGTGCTCCATCACGCGCCACAAGTAAACAAGTTAGAGCTTCTTAAAAGCGCATTGTATCCTGAAATGATTGAATATAACTTATGATTAGAGCTTCATGTCGAAGCAGAGGCGACGTCGACTGAAACTAACATCGAACATTGTCATTTTACCAATACAAGTTCGGATTCCTCTAATGACACAAGCCTGCAGGCTGCTTCTAACTTTAGAATTTACCTTAAGAACTGCCAACATGCACTAATAATCAGCAAAGCCTCTCCACACTATCGCAATAGCGACACAACTGCTTACGTGGAGCGTTGACCGACATACGCCATAACTAAACACTTTTTAAAAAGCGTAGGCTCTCGTTTAGATCAGTCTTCTCTGAAGTTCAAGTGTGGTTAAGCATGGCAATAGAACGAAAACATTCCTGTTCTGTTCTCTGTTCATTAATTATTGCCAGACAATGGAAAACGTTCTTTAATGATCAAGATGCGTGGTGCAGAAAACTCTTTGAGACACAATTCACGATAATTTTAAAGAATCATTTTCAAGCTCAAAAGCGGATATAATATTGGATGGGAGTAGTGCATAGTGCAATGGTGGTAAAGGAAGCGTGAAAATTCACAATTTTAGCGAAGGCCTCTCAAAAAGTGTACATGGAAGAGGTACTAAGACGAGAATTTAGTAGTTGTAAATGCGCAAAAAGCTGACTGCATCAAGCCAAAATCCTCCAGAAAGCCTTTGACTGTCGCTACGGGTGTTTAAACTTCCTACATGGGTTCGCTTGCGAATGGTGCAGCATGTACAATGCCATTGAAGCTCGTCAGCGCATACACAAGGAACACTCTTCGAGCTTTTATACCGCACTATCTAGGCCGTTTTCCTACCTGACAGGGCCACACGTGGTATATGAGAGGCCTGCACATAAAGCAAACATCATGTAATAACGATTTATAAGCAAAAAAAAAA